GTTTAGGGTGTAGGGCTTAGGGTGCTCCAGGAAGTGTCACGAATTTGAAAACACCCCATCCAAATACTGGTAATAGCATCCGGCTACAGCGCGCTTTATAAGCAGAATGCTCCGCAGGGAACTCAACTTAGTATATGATGAGCTCCCTTCACAGAAGCCCAGAGAGCAATTCCGAAAGTTGTGGGCGATATAGGTGTAATGGAAAAGGAAATGGAAACTACAGGGATGATGGGGATTTTAGAGGGATTATATAGGGATTATATAGGGATTATGGGGATTTTAGAGGGATTATATGGGGATTATATATGACTTTTCCCGCTTTCTCGCACAAGCAGTCCATGACGTAATAACTGCGACGTAGCGTTTCGTCTCGAGGGCTTTGGACACTTCGTGTTCTAAGCCACATCATGCTTGGAGGGTCAGGGGGACTTGGTAAGTAGGTTAATAACCCCAATAACCCATAGCAACCCGAATTATCCCCAATAACCCATATAGAAACCCTGGCTATCCCCAATGCCAATAACCCATATAGTATAGTCCCCCTTAAGTAGATAGAATATGGCTTTGGGTATATTATAATAAGACCCCCATATGCTCCATATTCTATCTACTTAAGGGGGACTATAACCCTAATTGTCCCCGTTATTAACCTACTTACTAAGTCCCCCTGACCCTCCAAGTGGTCCCATGGTCCCATGGTCCGAGGTTCCCTCACCATTGCCCCCCTAGCACATACCCCCTGGTTTAGGGTTTAGGGTTTAGGGTTTAGGGTGGACGGTGTGGTGAGAGGCCCGGAAACATCCAAAACTGCGCAGAGACATTCACAGTCTCGCTTGCGAGCCAATAAAGCACACCCCTCGTGGTCACAAGGCCTCCAGTGGTGCGGCTAGCCCACACACTGGCCCAAATTCAAACACTTACAAAAAAAAGGCATACTGGTGGTGAGTAGGGAATAACGGAATATAATCCCCATATAAACCCTGTACCATATAGCCCCTTATTCCCTGCGAACCCCCAGTAAAAAGGCTCAGGTAATGCCTGTCAAGGGAGACATTGCCTCCTATGCAAAGCAGTCGCTGCACGAGCAGGTCTGAGGATGGGCTTCTGTCCCCCTTAAGTAGGTAGATCACGGAATTGGTTTGGAGTTTAGGATTTAGGGTTAGGGCTTGCCCAAAACCATGATAGCATCCCCATATTATACCCCATATTCTATCTACCTAAGGTGGGCTACAAGGAAGTTCATCCCATCAGCTGTCTAAAAGCCCCATCAGGCCCAGGGTGGTGAGTCGGAGCCGTCAGCAGGATCCTTCGACATGCACATAGGGTTAAGGGCTTAGGGTTTAGGGGTTAGAGCTTAGGGTTTAGGGTTTGGGGTTTAGAGCTTAGGGTTTAGGGTTTAGGGTTTAGAGCTTAGGGTTTTAAGGTTCCTGGCTATAGAGATCCCAAAACATTCCACACAATACCCCGTGACCCATTCCGCCATTCCCCCATTCCCGCCTAAACCCTAAACCCTAAACCCTAAACCCCAAACAATCCATTAGTTTCCATGTTGAAGGCTCGGAAGGCACACCACCGTTGCAGCCGCAATCTCTGCCAGCAATGCCAATGGCGGGAAGATGAAGGGCACCAGCAGGCCAACGCCCTCCGCAATCCTGAGTGGTTTAGGATTTCGGATCTAGGATTTAGGGTGTAGGGTTTGAGGGTGAAGGTTCCGGGTAGAGGGTTCAGGGGTTAGGAATGAGGGCTGCAGCTTTGAAGGTTCATGGATAAAATCTTAGGGTTGAGGGTTTAGGGTTTGGGGCTTTGTCTCGGGATTCGGAGCTGAGGTTACAGAGTTTGGGTTTGGGGTCGGGTCTAGTTTTACAGGAGTTTAGGGCTTTAAAACCCCAAACCCCAAACCCTGAACGCTAGTTTAGGGCTTTGTCTGGGCGTTTAGAGACGCTGAAGCATCTTCGAGAGCATGCCTCTGCTAGCTAAGCATGCTGAGTCCTGCAATTTCACCCCCGAACCCTCAATCCTAAGCCCCTTAACGGCAACCCTCACCGCTGAAAGCCTCCGCTAATGCCCCCCCCCCATGCCCCCGAATATTAAATTCTCCCAAAACATTCTAATGTACTACAGTGGTGGATATTCAAAATTAGTGGTGGGTGGTTTTTTATTAATATACTACAGTGGGGAATATTCAAAATTAGGGGGTGGAGGGTTCTAATATTAGGAGAAAGGATTAAACATCAACGCAGAGTCATCACTGCTTCTCTTGCCCTCCATACAACGAGCAGGCCTACGAGCGCTCCCAACACAGCAGCTACGATCGCCAGCGAAGCCTGGGCCAGGGTTTAGGGTTTAAGGTTCAGGGAGTTTAAGGTTTAGGGAGTTTAGGGTTTAGGGAATGTAGGGTTTAGGGAGTTTAGGGTTTAGGGAGTTTAGGGTCTAGAGAGTTTAGGGTTTAGGGAGTTTAGGGTTCAGGGAGTTTAGGGTTTAGGGAATGTAGGGTTTAGGGAGTTTAGGATTTAGGGAGTGTAGGGTTGAGGGAGTTTCGGGTTTAGGGAGTTTAGGATTTAGGGAGTTTAGGGTTGAGGGAGTTTAGGGTTTAGGGAGTGTAGGGTTTAGGGAGTTTAGGATTTAGGGAGTTTAGGGTTTAGCGAGTGCAGGGTTTGAGGATGAGGTGCGACAAGGAAGCGGTTAAAGAGGATTTAGAGGGGTCCATGCGGCTTGGCAATCCCTGAAGCAGTTAAACTGTAAACCCTATGTAACACCCAGTTTCCAGATCATTTACATTCTCTTGTCCACTTGATCCTCCATTCTTACATTACGTTACATGTGAGAAGAGACAATATATCACACTCTAAAGCCTAATGTACTAATAGATTTTTTGTCATACGCCCCGCTCTCAAAGTCAGAGGGCCCTTCGCTTCGAAGCCTTGCGCCCAAAGCGACACGCCAGGCTCAGTGCGCCCTGGGCGCCGTAGGCAGCGGCTGAGGGGAGCAGGAAAAGGGCGAAAGGCCACCAGTGAGCTGTGGCACCTCAGGGATTTACGGAATTTAGGGCTGTGGGTTTAAGATTTAGATAGGGTTTCGGGCTTAGGGTTAGCGCTCACTGTGATCTAGAGGGTGCATGGCTGAACGAAAACAAGATAACAACAGTGCTGGATCAGGTTCACACCTCGTGAACATGTACGTCATGTTCAGTTCAAGAATGACGGCGCTCAACAATGATGGCAACAACCGAAAGAGCTTCAACATTAAGAAACCTAAGATTCTAATCTAGTAGCTTCCACTGTCTTTTCCATTATCCCTATAACCTACATAACAGAGATATATCCCTATAATGTAATAGCTTCCATTTCCTTTTCCATGATCCCTATATCACCCCTATAAGGTACCCTACACCCTAAACCCTAAACCCTAATCCTGCCGAGGCACCAAGTAGCACCAACAAAGCTGTGACGCGGTGGGCGCTCCGAAAGTGCGCGGTGATGCCTGAGATTTGGTTCGAAGAGAAGCATACAGCGTTAAGGGTTTAGGGTTTAAGGTTTGGAGTTTAGGGTTTAGGGCTTAGGGTTTAAGGTTTGGGGTTTAGGGATTCCGACACTGTCTTACTGGCTTAAACAATAACCACCTTTTGGTGTGCGGTTGCTTTTACCTGCACTGTTCATTGATTATGCAAACACCGGACAGTGATGACGCCAGCAGTTTGATGAGCTCTTGGGAACCCCTTCGCAAAAAAATAGAAACCCTAAACCCCAAGCCCTGTAACCCTAAGCCCTAAACACTACTTACTTTGAACCACGTCCTTTCATATTGAAACAATTTCCACAGCCTAACCTTGAATACGGGGATGGGATTTCGCTTTGTGCTTGAGAATCCATTTAAATTCCTAGTATCCCTCGTCATTATCAGCTCAATACTTCCCTATACAATCACCTCTATAACCCCCTTTAGGGAGTTGAGATTGTAGCTCATATGAGCACGTTCCGAGTTGCAACCCATTTCTTGTACCTGAACATCCTGCACGCTGCACTATGGACCAATAAATAGCCAAGCCTCAAAATCCTCAATCCTTCAGCGCCCTAAACCCTAAATCCTAAACCCCAAATCCTAAGCCTCAACCCAAAACCCTAAGCCCTGAATCCTAGGCCCTAAGCCAAAAATCCAAAACCTCGCTCGAAGGTGCGTGGGTGTTTACGGAAGAAGGCCACCACCGTGTGCAACAGCAGAAGGAGCGCTGTAAGGAGCCCGAGCCTCTAATGAAAACATTAAGATTTGAGCACCCTAAACCCTATTCCATTCATATAACCCCAATATAATATAACCCCTAAGATTCTATCTACTTAAAGGGGCTCATAAGCACCAATAAGGATTATACAGGGTTGGGGTTCAGGGTGTAAGGTTTGAAGGGTTTAGGATTAAGGGTCTAGTGTTTCAGAGCAAAGGGCTTTTTGGGTTTACAGAGAAACGGGGTCAGACTTAAGGAGTATGGAAGGCTGCGATTCAAGGATGTGGCCTTACAATCGTTTAGGGTTTAAGGTTAAGGGTGTAGGGCTTAGATCATACAACATAAAAGCATGACAAGAAAAGACATAGCAACCGGGCATATTGTTGACAACACCCGTGCCCCTTCGACTACATGGTAGCTGTTGCTCCAAATCGGAACTATGGTAACGGTTCACCTCACCCCTAAACCCTTGAACCTAAACCCTTAAGCCTAAACCCTTAGCCAACTTAAACTCAACAACGACCCAGCAGCAGGTACAGAAGATTCTCGCCCTTGTCTCCAGAGATTCGAACGAAAACCTGGACGCCTGTCAGGGGGAAGTTTGAAGTGCGAATAAGAGCCTAAACCCCAGACGCCTGAACCTAAACCCTTATGGGGCATAAGCGTTTAGGCTTTAGGGTTTAGGTTTAAGGCCCTACATACCCCCTTATAACCTATGTATAACCCCTAGGCCTTAGAAAACCCTTATAGAAACCTTTGGTAACCCTAAACCTCTACTTTGAGCTCCCTCATCTGAATTGGCCTCAAGATTTAGAGTTTAGGGTTTAAGGGGACTATCCCAAACGACCTTGTGGGCTCCTCACTCCCTGAAAGGCACATCCACCAAGATCTCCCAAAACCATGTGAGTACTAAGAATATATTCTTGATATAAGATACTATACCCAAAAAGGAGGATATGGATCCCCAAAAAAAGATACTACTCAGGTGGAAGGATGTCAGAAGCATGGTCCCCCTTTGAGGCCCCTGATGCTTCGGGTACTTGAACAGGAACCATAATTTCGACATCCCCCAATACAGCCTTCTTTACTCAGGAGGTACACGAGCTCCCCGCCAGCATGGATGGCGCCCCAGAAGGCCGTTCTCCAGCCCAGCGCCTTGTGGAGATCGACTGTGGCTTGACCTTCTGGGTTTTGGGTTTAGGGCTTCAAGTAGATTCAATGTTTAGGGTTCACGGCTCTGGGTTTGGGGATTCGACAGCATGAAAATGTCGGGTTATGGGGCTGAGGGCTGCAAGTTTACAGGGAGAATGCAGACAGTTGGCATATGGGAACATCTCAAGACCTACGAATAGGGAGCAGTAGCATGTATCATCCTGTTTCCAGCTTCCGATCTCTTGGCCTTAACTCTAGTTCCAGATAAAGCTTAGGACATACACTAATATGAACATGACGGGTGTACAGGCCTAGGGTTTACGGATCTAGGGCCTGGGATTTTGGATGCAAATTTGAAATCTACTTGGACGGTCAGAGGGCTAAAAAAAGGGGAAAATTGTGTTTGGTATATGGAAGTTATAAACATCCTCACCAAATCCCGACGCTCCAAGTAGGGTTTAGGGCTTATGAATTTCTCAAAAAAAAGGGTCCTCTTAAACCCTACAACCCTAAAACCCTAAACCCTCGGCCCTAAACCTCTAAAACCCTAAACCATGGAGGAATTTCAGTTCCAAAGGTTGCGTTCGAACTCTCAGGATTCGGCCACGGGGCTTAGGAGTAAGAGCGTTTGGGGTTTAGGGGATAACTTTGTAAATATGAGGAGAAGTAGGACGCTGACTATACAACAGGATTGGGGCTCTGCGACATCAAGCGCGTGTTTGTATGATACTGTGATTATTGTTTATCCTAGCTGTTTTTGAACACTGTTGAAATTCCATAGATTCACTGTCTTGTGGTGTTTTGATGTTACCCCTACTTACCAAGCCTGAGCATCAAACCCTAAGCCAAACACAATCAGTAAGTCCCGCCAAACCTTAAACTCTAAACCCTGACCCTCCAAGCAGTAAACCTGATCCAGCGGCGTGGCAGTCCCATGAGGGGACCCACCGCTTGGCTGACAGGCACAGCCAGCAAGGACAAATGCCAGCTAAGGGGAAACGATGCTGCGAGAGCAACCTTCTGCTGACAGGTTACTGGCTTGCTGTTAAAAAGCTTGAACTAAGCTACCATGATATGGGTACATATATGTATATGTATATAATATATGTATATTTGATGATGGAGTGTCCTTGTTGTAGTGACTTAATTTAAACCCCTTAGTTTAGGGAAACGCTCAGATTGGAAGTTCTGAAACAAGGCTTCGCTTAGGGGTTCGGACAGAGTTTCGTCTAGAGTTTAGGTTGCAGGTCTTCAGGCTTGGGGCCTCAGTATTCTTGATCAAGGTTCAGGGTTTCAAGTTTAGGATTGGGAGTTTAAGATTTGAAGGTTAGGGCAAAAGTCTAACGCATCTCAACCATGCTCTAGCAACAGCCACGACCGTGGATGCAATGCTACTTCGGTAGAAGGGATCTGCCAGCATGTAGGTCAGAGGCATGGCGAACCAAAGGACCGACACGCCTGACCAAATCGTGAGAAGTCCCTTCACCTGAGCATCTAGAATCTAAGGCTTAGGGTTTAGGGTCCAGGGCGTCCGCAAATTAAGGCCTCAATAGGGATTATTGGGGTGATTTGGGCCTATTAAGGATTCTGAGCGCATGTCATGGCCTTGCAAGTCTGGGGGCGTACATATTGCGGGGGTGCGTGAGGGCCTTGGTAGTCCTATGAGAGTAGGGGTGGTCAGATTAAGCAAGGTTACACTCTTCAATTCAAATACAAGACCGCAACTACTCCCACTGAAAATGCCAGCCCCCGGCTATGAAGGTTTACGTTCATGGGCTCCCCTACTACTCACTTTACAAGTACTACAACCCCTCCCCTCAGGTTTCCCTTGAACTAAAAAGACTTCAGGACAGGTAAGGCCTGGGGGGCAGTAGGGCAGGTAGTAGGGGAACCCAAGATATGGGGGTTTCCCAAAATTGGGGATAAGTGCCCTTACTGAGGACCATAGTATTTTGGGCTCTATATTGGGGTCCCCCAATTTTGAAAAACTACAGTATGTTGTGTGTATGAAGACTGCCGTACTCTTGTAGGGTTTTACGAGCCAGTCCATTGTTCAATATCCAAGGCTCTCTATACACAAGAATATACACAGAGCAACAACGATAACGAGCCACAACAGAACCTGGAACTTTTACAATTGTCACCTCTCAACCTTGCAAATACTGAACGCTATCAACATTATCAACCCCAAACCCCTCGTCCGTCTCACCCGCCATGAGTTTTCCTTCTGATTCTCCATGGTTCTGCTTATTTACATGCCTAAACCCTGAACCCTAAACCCTACACCCTAAACTCACCCCCTAAACCCTGAACCCTACATATCTCTATATCAACCCACAGCCCTGAGACCGTTGATGCCGTGGGATCCGCATCCTGGCTCGCGTGACTTGCATCATCGAGGCCCTCTTCGTCAACCTGGGTGTTTAGGGTTTAGGGTTTAGGGTTTAGCGAAGGTTGAAGAACTTGAATTAAGTTACCGTCATATGGGTATGAAATTAAAAACAAAGTTTCCTAATCTATAATAATAATCCTAAACCTTAATCCCTGAACCCTAAATCCAATGTACCCTTCTTACCAATATCCTATCCTAGACCCTACACCCTGAGAAATTCCTGACAGCAACCCAGCAACGGGATTGTCCCGCTTCGACGTGGACATGGACATGCCGAGAGCCCCAAACCTTGCCGGGCTGGGTTTAGTGTTTGGGGTTCAAGAGGTTAAGGGTTTAGGGGTTAAGGGTTTAAGGGTTTAGGGTTCAAGGATCAAAGGGTTCAGGGTTTAGGTATTAAGGGTTTAGGGTTGAGGGTGTAAGGTTTTGAGGGTTTAAGGTTTAGGGCTTAGGGCCCAGGGTTTACGCTTGAAGGGTTTAGGGGTTGAGGTTTGGATTTAAAGTGCTTAGATGGGATACTCTTTACTTATCACAAGTACAGTAAACCCTAAACCTGAAAACAAGCACGACATCCTAAACTCCAAAGCAAGTCAAAAATTGATAAACCTAAAACCAAAACCGGATGAGAAACAGAAGGGGGCAGGTCCACACCAGCAACACAACGATGGCAAAGCCAGTCAGACCGGACCACACGCCGGGCTTGAAGCAGTAATTTCCTGTATGACCTGGTTAAGAAATCTCAACAAGCGCAGTGGCCAAGTGGGTACGCTTCTGTATGGCTGGCTTGAGGAGTGCTATGGAAAAACTAAGAAGTATATGAAGCCTGTGTCAGGGTGGTACGCGGGAAACTACGCACCTGAAATTTCATTTGATTCAACAAACATTATATGTCAAGGTTGGGTAAAACCCCCACCCACTAATGGTAGACAAACGGAGCAATGGCAATGCCTCTGGGTTCGTTGTATATCCATCATATATCCCCAATGCTGGGTGGGGGGATGATACTGGATAAGGTGGGCCACGAAGGGAAACCAGGATCCCGGTGAAGTAACTTCAAGTATGCGAGCACAACATGTGACCTACATAAAATTGTTCTACCCCCTATACAAAGCCTAGATGACCTCAGTTCCCCTTCTCATTCTCCATGATATTCTAATCTGCCGTGAAACTTTGAACCCAAACACTGAAGCCCATAAAATACCCCGTTCAACCCTAAACCCTACACCTCAAGCCCCGTTGCTTCATGCCTTGCTGGCCTGCCAGGCTGTCACATCCATCCGGATTTCCCATGTTGCATAAGCCGCCTACGCCGCCCACTCCTTCAAGGCAAGCAGCCAAATACAGGGATGTATAGGGGGTGGATTGGTTGAAGATGATTAAGGCCATTTCAGGCTAAGTCGGGGTGAAGGTATGTGGCTAGCAGGGGGGCAATCGCGAAACCCATGAGTTACGGGTTTGATGGTCCGTACGGCTGCTGGAGACTTTTTGCCAACACACTCTAAGCTTTGGACCCTAAACCCTAAATCGTAGGCCTTAAACGACACATGAACATTTCATGTTACTTGAATCTCCTGAGGCTGACGTTCCTGCCTAACTGAAGTACCACCCAGAGTGTCCCCAAGGCCAAGCTGGCCTTCCCGACCCAAACCGCCCCCGACAGAAATTGTCCCTCCCCAAGCTAAAATGGGATAGACTACAATCATTTTAGCACAGGCGTGTATGGGGTTACCCGTTTACGGGTGTGTGTTCTACTCTGATTGAGGCACGGTTGCGCCCTCAAACTCCTCCCACGTCTTCTTCTAAGCGATGAAGTGCATTGCGCAAAGGCTCATACAGCGCACCTGCAAGCAGGGTTGTTCTGTGTCAACCTTTCATACTTCATACTGTGGATGGAAGAAAATTTTGCACCATGCTGGAAACATAAACCCTACCAAGCCTGCAAATAGCATGCACTTCCACGCGCCCGCCAAGTTAAAGCCGCCTTTGCTGGCCGCCATTCTGGATACAACCTGGATCACAATTACGTGCAAAGTTTTGGGTTTAGGGCTTATATAGGAATAAATACGGATCATGCGAAGAAAAGAACATCACATGCAAATGGAATACAATCCACCATTCAGAAGAAAAATGCACACACACTACAATCTTGAAACTATTCTGAAAGAGTAATAAAGATTTAACGGAAAACCTCTTTGTCAGAATAGAACATCCCAAATAATGCAACGGCTCTCAGCCCTAAACTAAATGAGGGGCGCCTGCAGCCCATCGGCAGAACCCGAACGCTGGCCGAAAGCTCACAGCCCGGGCGATGGCAGAAAGAGCGGGCCCTGAAGAGGTGAGACCAAAACCTCACCTCCAGCACCCCTGCAGACCAACTCACAAGCCGGGCTCACTCTCCTGGAGATTTTATTGGGGGCCGGGCCGGCCATACCGATCCCCGGTAACGTAGCTTGTATAGTATGAGCGCCAAAGCCAAAACATTTTCCCTGGCCGACGCTACAGTTTTCGGTGGCCTGCCGTGCGGCCCGCCGAAACCTCCCGAGGCATCTGAAGGGCCCTCCCATGAAAGTCAAGGTCCAATCACTTAAGCTTTCCACTCTGCCCGGTCCCTCGCGGAATCTTGCGCCTAGTCCTCGTGAGCGTGCCTGACGCGGGCCCTGTTCTTGTGATCCAGATCCCTCCAGGCTGTCTTTCATGGCGCGCGCGTCACTCGCAGATCGCTGGCTGTCACTTGTTGCGAAAGCAACCTCTTTCCAGGGCTGAAAAGTTGGCATTTGCATTTGTTCCAAACCATCTCGCATCCTATGAAAGCAAACCGAATGTCCGGAGCTTGCAAACATACATTAGAAATACGGACCGTCAAGCCTACGTTAAGGCTCCGGGTCAGGGTTCAAGGCTATGTTTAAAGCCTAGGGTCTGTTTAAGGGGTCCGGCTTGGCTTGCCTTGAAATTCAAGGCCTGGACCTGCTTTAGGGTTCAAATTTAAGGTTCGACTGCAAAATAACCACGGGTTCAACGTTCAAGGTTAAAGCCTGCGGCTTAAGGTTTAATGATGTTGGTAAAGGTTAAAGAATTCGAGTTCATAGTGCTCTTAATTTCTAAGTTGATGCTTTAGGGGTTGTCCATTAAGGTATTATTGGTGGTTTTTGCCTTTAAACTATTGATTTGAATCCTCTTGTTGAAGATCATCCAATGTTCATGATGAAGCATCCCAAAACCGTACATGTGTTTGTGGGCACAAACGAATGTTACCAAGTGAAGGTAGTAGACATGTTGTATAACCATCGTGTCAGTCACCTTAAACCACTGCTGAAGAAATGAATGTTTGGCTTGAGATGCAGAACCTCAACCTCTACCCTAAACCCTGAACCTAAAATTTAAAACCTAATCCAACTGCGATCCAGTAGCCTGGCTCCCCCTCTAACTGGGATTGAGCCAACCTGAGCCCTGACAAATCATCGCAGTGTCAGATATTGCGGTTTCAGGATTATGGGGTTGAAGGACTTGTGTTTGGGGATTGGGGTCTGTTTAAGATGTGGGAGCTTGGGACTTTCACGGCCAGAACAAAAAGATTTGGGGTGTAGAGTTTAAGGGGGATGCTTTGCGCACCAAACATGCAGCTGACAGC